AAACCATTCATCTATTAGTATTTGATCCTCCAGGCCATAAGCAGGTGTTTTTAATACTCTAAGGCCTCTAGGGACAATATTGGATGCTAAGTACTGTTCAAGGGAGGTTATCTCCCACCATTTTTTAGTCTCTTTTTCTAATAGCAATTCCAATTTTTCAAAACTCTTAGAAAGAGAATTATCAAGGACCACATTCTTTTGATGAAATAATAAATTAATCCTTTTGTTGCGTTCTTGTCGCATTTCGTGATAAACATTATTAAACTGGATAAAAATGTATCCAGTTCACTTTGTGTTACCTGCCATATAACCAAAATGCTATCTATAAATCTTTTCCAAAGGACAAGGTTTGCAACTCAGCCATATAGCTAGTCTCTATGGTACTACCTGTCTTTTGTAAATAGAAAGTGTCCTCAAATAAAAGGTAATTGAGTTAAATAAACACTATAGTCACCTAAATTACTTTAGCTAAATAAAGCAGTTTTAGTGTATAGATCATTCCCCTGCAATTTCACTGCTCAATTCAGTGTCATTTAGGAGTTAAATCACTTTGTTTCTGTACATGCAGCCCAAGCCACACCTCCCCTGGCTATGATTGACAGAGCCTGCATGAAAAAAAGACTGGTTTCACTTTCAAACAGATGTAATTTACTTTAAATAATTGTATCTCAATCTCTAAATTGAACTTTAATCACATACAGGAGGCTCTTGCAGGTCTAGCAAGCTATTAACATAGCAGGGGATAAGAAAATCTTAATTAAACAGAACTTTCAATAAAGAAAGCCTAAATAGGGCTCTCTTTACAGGAAGTGTTTATGGAAGGCTGTGCAATTCACCAAAACTGCTTCATTAAGCTAAAGTTGTTCAGGTGACTATAGTGTCCCTTTAATATAATATAAATTATTCAACCCCTTCATGGCAAGCATTTAGTACTTAATAGAGCACTCTTTCCTGTTATGACCTGCTACAAACGAGATACAAAGCCAGACACCAGTATCTGGCAGCATTTCTGATGAGTCTTAGCCCATTGCTAAGCATTGCTTAGCAGTTTGATACACAAATCTAAAACAAGACAATATGAGTTGATTTTTTTTTTTTTTTTAAAGTAATAAAAAGTATACAGATTTAGGGTATATGTGTACAAATTGTCTAAAAATATATACTGGGTGGAGCAGACGGGGACATGGGACAATAAATTCAATATCTGAAAAAATATATATATGATTAGCTCTGGCACTCTAACACAGAGGTGCATCAAATTCAAGGTAAGTCCCGAACCTCAAAACAAAATCTAATTAGAGGAGCCATGGATTATAGTCAAAGGGTATTTGCTCTGGGTATGCTTCATTAGCCCAAGCAGCACAGAAGGGATAAGCTCCTGGGGACCCTTACCTAGCATTAAAACATTAAAACAGTTTAACCCTGAATGGAAGGACAACACCGGAGAACTCCAGATTCTATAGCCACTTCAACAAGATGAGGCAGTTATATTGTCTACAGAATCCCTTTACTCTTCACCCAGTGGTAAAAATTCCACTCCCAACTTTATCTTATGTATATAAAAAAAAAAAAAAACTAAGGAGAATTTAAAAGAAATAAATAAAAAAAATATGAATTGACAGTGTCACCTCAAGCAAGTTTCCGTTTAAAGGTACCTTACCCACAAGCCACTCAAATATCCCAAAGAAGGGCAAAAGATTCCGGCCCAAAACATAACTCCACCACCGCCTTGCTGACGTCGCAGCCTTGTTGGAACAGGGTGGCTGTCCACCAACCATCCACTACTCCATCCATCTGGACCACCCAGGGTTGCACGGCACTCATCAGTGAACAGGACTGTTTGAAAGTTAGTCTACATGTATTTTTCTGCCCAATGCAGCCGTTTCTGCTTGTGAGCATTGGTTAGTAGTGGCCGAATAGAAGGTTTATGCACAGTTGCAAGACTTTGGAGGACTCTACACCTTGATTTCCGTGGGACTCCAGAGGCACCAGCAGCTTCAAATATCTGTGTGTTGTTATGTAATGGTATTTTAGCAGCTGCTCTCTTGATCCGATGCATGGAGCTGGCAGAAATCTTCCTCAATGTGCCTTTATCTGCACAAACCCGTCTGTGCTCTGAATCAGCCACAAATCTCTTAATAGTGTGATGATCACGCTTAAGTTTTCGTGAAATATCTAATGTTTTCATACCTCGTCCAAGGCATTGAACTATTTCACTCTCTTCGGCAGCAGAGAGATCCTTTTTCTTCCCCATATTGCATGAAAATGGTGCTCTGTTTAATAATGTGGAACACCCTCCTTTAGTAGTTTTTCCTTAAATTGGGCTCACCTGGCAATCTAATTATCACAGGTGTCCGAGATTGTTTTCAGTGATCAAAAGAGCCCTGAGACACAATGCCATCCATGAGCTAAAAAACAAAATATTTAATCTTTGTGACACTTAAATAGAATTTGCACAATAATAATACAGACACCAACTTGCCAAAGTACCTAAGTCACATGTTTAACTCCTAGAAAGCTCAGCCCTTTTTCTTTTCAAGGTCGATAAAATAGTATCATTTAGTTGGGTAATAAAATCTAGACTTAGTATGCACTTGGAAAAGAGTGAAAAATGTATTGTCAGTTTCAGTTTTAAAGTGACACTCCAGGCACCCAGACCACTTCTGCCCATTGGAGTGGTCTGAGTGCCAACTCCCACCACCCTTAACTCTGCAAGTGTAATTATTGCAGTTTTCATAAACTGCAATATTTACCTTGCAGGGTTAACTCCTCCTCTAGACAGCCACTAGAGGGCACTTCCTGGTTTATAGCACACGAAAAGCGTGCTATAGCGTCGCTGAAATGCCCATAGGAAAGCATTTTTCAATGCTTTCCTATGGGGAGGTCTAATGCGCGTGCGCGGCATTGCCACGCATGCGCATTAGGTCTCCCCCGCCGGGAGACGGGATGACCCTGACCCAGCACCCAGGGACATCGGCGCTGGATACAGGTAAGTCACTGAAGGAGTTTTAACCCCTTCAGCAACTAAGGATGGGGGGTGGAAGGGAGAGGGGACCTGCATTGCCAGGAAAACGGTTTGTTTTCCTGGCACTGGAGAGTCCCTTTAATGCAAATATAAATGCTATTTTTGCCTTTTCCCCTAGGTGTCACTATGTCTTGTATGTTTGTGTTTTTTATTTTGTCTCTTATAGTGGTACAGTAGTTGCAGAAGTTTGTAAATAATACATTGTAGTAAATAATGCACTGGGATGATTTTGCGCATGCATGGCGCCAATCAGTATCTCCTTATAGAGATACATTGAATTAATGCATCTCTATGGTGAGCGTTCATGCAGAGCACTTTAGCTCTGCGACATATATTCTGGTCACATATCCAGTTTGTCACCAAATCCTGCTTATTCCCACTTAAAACCATTGCCCGCATCCTACGCAACTAGTTACTAAGACGGAGATTTCTCTTCTAATTGGTATCTCCAGAAACAGTCTGTAATGAGTGCAGTGCAGGGCTGATTTTTCTCTCCCATCACTCCTCTCTTACATCACCACAGTCAATTGTTACATTGGCTTCCTGTACCCTATAGGATTCAAATCAAAATAATGAGTAACTTACAAAGCTCTCCTCTGCTACATTTCTTAACTAATTCTTAGGCTTGCCCCTATTGACCGCTCGTAGTGCTAACTCAGGCATACAGGATTTCTCTCAGGTGGCTCCGTTCTTATGGAACAGCCTGCCTTCACCAGGCAGGATCTCCCCTGGTTACTAAAAAACCTCTTCAGAATAGCCTATTGATTCCCAGGGTAACTGTTATAATGCTCTCAGAGAGTGGGTCCACAGTCCACTCTCATTTTCAAACTCTGTCACCTCGTGGCTATCCCCCATCAACCCTTCCTATTATGTTTTTATATTCTACCTCCTCTAGATTGCAAACTCATTTGATCGTGGTCCTCATTAACTGATTCTTGGAAAATTGTGTTATAGTTTGTCTTGTTTATCTTTAAATCAATATAATGTACAGTGTAATAAGTCAGCCCTATAATGAACTAATAAACACCAATAACGTTGTTCCACAGTAATTTAACACTCTAAGTGCACCTATTCGTATTATAAATATTCATATTATAGATTGTTAAACGACATATAGGGCTTTCTTCTAGAAAATGTGCATGAAAAGCACAGTATTAATTATAAATAGGAAAATCATTCTGTACTCTTGCGTGTAATTTAGTAATTAGAGTACAAAAAACAACATTTTTGATTTGTCCTGCTTCTTAATATGCCTCATCGGCAGGATTTCAGTAAGAAAACAAATATTTTGAGGTGGTGTACAGTTTCTTTTTTTTTTTTTATTTATGAGCGCAGAAAAAGACAAACAGGCTTGGGTGCCCCATTAGCACACCGCAAGCAGATCATCATACAAAACATTTAAGACAATCGAGAAAACGTGCACATTTTTTCTGATATAGCCGCTAGTTCTAATTAGACAGTCATGTCTAGTGTACAACTGAACTGTGGTGTCAAACAGTAACAGGAAAACAAATCTGCAAGCTAGGCTAATAATACTACACGTCTACTATAGTTAAGACACATATAGGATAGAAATTCTTTTAAGAAAAGATCTTTATATAAAGAGAAATATATATAGGGCAAGCCATTGTAGAGGGAATTTTATTACCTTTTACCCTAAATAAATTCATCAACAGTCTTTTTAAGTACTTTAACCCTTTAAGGACCAAACTTCTGGAATAAAAGGGAATCATGACATGTCACGTGTCTTTAAGGGGTTAAAAAAACAACAACCAAAACCTTATATCCTCACTCAGTAGTAAGTCCACATGGGGGAGATAATATATATATATATTTTTTTTTTTTTTAGATAATTTCTTTGTATTTTGTCTATGGCTTTGCCACTATGTATATACATATATTTTATCATTTTGGTGTAAAATAAAGGATTTAAATAATTTATTGTTAGCAGCCAGTAACCTCTTCCCCCGCCTGATATTTCTTGCCCATTTATACACATTTTTATATTCAGAGACTGTTCCTCAGTGGATCAAATGGATTTCACAGAAATGAAACACATACATCACTAAACCTTGGCAAATCGGCGATGGTGGAACGCACGCTTGGAACACGACATTGCGTATGGGACGTGATGACGTCAGACGCACAAAACCAGGAAGTAATCACAGAGATCGAAATTAGCCAGAAAGTGAAGCCACCTCTAGGAATAAGATTTGGACTCATTGCGGGTGTATATAATAGGGAGAGAAGTTAGCTTTTTATGCACTTTGTATCCAGCATTTTGTTTACCACTGAGAAATTATCCATGAGGAATTCACGAACAGATGAAACGCGTAGGATTTAGATTGACCATGTGAATCCGTTAGAGACCAGATATACTTCTGTGTAAGTAAATAAATGCTTCATTGTGCACTTTATATGGGTCTTATTTGGTACCACTTTACTTTTTCATGAACGAGGCTGTGTCACATTTCTGTAAAGACCCAATGTGTATTCAGAGTGAGTCAGGACCATCCATTTACACCCATAATATTTGAGAAGCTAGAGGGTCAAATGACATACCAATGAGATTGAGTTATCACATTTACTAGAAAATGTGACAAGGGTGCACCACCAGTACAGCATATCCTTTCTAAAAGGAAACATGCAAATAAAGGACACTTAGTTGCCTATTTCTGCTGAAATTAATATTTTTCTTACATATTAAGCTTTGACTTTTGTATCTCACAACTTACAAGACCCTACTTTTGAGTCCTGTCTCACCTCCATAACTACTGCCTTCTGTAATTGATTAATTTGAATAGTGCAGGGAGATCCCAGACTCCAGCTTACCTTCTAGGGTTAAACCATTTTAGATTGTAAATTAGTTTGGGCATGGCCCTCTTCTACAGTTCCTGTATGTTGTGTGTTAGAATTAAAGTATTGTCTTTATTAATAATTCTACATTGCTGCAGAATGTTAGCACCATATAAATAATTGCAGTTTTGTGAACGGAGAGCAGCTGATAAACTGAGGCCTGCAGCAGCTAGGCAGATGTGACAGGCACTGGACTGAAGACTTTAGGGTTAAACCCTTAATTTAGGTCCACTCCCTAGATCTTGCACTCCATCAACATCATTCAAATTAAGCTATGACTTCAAGTGCTCTTTACAGTTACAGCACAATTTGATAATGTACCTGCATCCTGCCGGCTGCCCATGTTGCATATGGTCTTGCTCAGCAGGAGCTGATCGCAATCAAGTATCAATAAAGATTGATTGCCAAGATTGCACCCTCAGCCAATGATCGTGGGCCTGTTTTGCTTTTTCTGCTTGAAAATACCTGATGTGGCAGCTAGGTAAGTTTTAAAACCATGCAAAACAATTTGGTGTTTAACAGAGGAAGGGTGACAAGGAATTTTACAAAGATGGTGTTTAGGGTGCATGGAGAGTTCCTTTAAAATTACAGTACCATCAACCCAGTGCATTATAACAACCATGATCTAATTATAAAAACACAAAAGGACTTTAAACGGGAGTACTTTCAAAGTTTTATTTCAATAGGAAAGCCACTTTAATCTTCTGATTCTGACTCTTCATCCTCCTGGCTGATCTGGAAATAACGGAGCTCATACGTTTCTTTGTCAGATGCAACCACACGAAGCCAATCACGCAAGTTATTTTTCTTTAAGTATTTCTTTGTAAGATACTTCAGGTACCTATTAAGCAAATACAAAATGCTAGTTAATTTAGAATTTGCAATTGCCAATACATTCCTTATTACAGTACATAAGCACAAAAAGAAAAAGAATGTGAACTTAAAAAAGCCTTTTTGGGAAGACTGCTTGTGAGAAAGTGGTTAGAGGGCAGATGGAAAAAAAAAAAAAAAAAAGACTGGGGAAATTCGATATGTACGAGGATTACAGACACTGAGGATCAGGCTATTAAAACCAAAACTACTGTGGGAGAGTAGGTTTAGTTTTTACAAATATGGGGTATCAATTCCAGATGCAGCACAAAGTGTCAACCTTGCAGATTAAATTGCAAAAGATTGTGTATGCACCACTAATAACCTCCAAATTATGAGCATAGTTCTGCTACAGTCCTATTTTATTTGCAGTATTTTGCACTTACCAGGTCAAAGCAGTTATCTGAGCAGAGCCTGCAGTCATCACTATAGCCCCATCTGCCTCTCCCTTCCTAGTGAATAGTGTTAAAAACTCCTTATATTACTTACCGGATCCCAGTGCCGATGTTCCTCAGCACTAGGTCATGTGTGCTAATGCAGCGTGCATTAGACCTCTCCATAGGAAAGCATTGATTCAATGACTTCCCATGGACGAAAAAAATAACCTGACGATTTCCTCATGCAAAGCGCAAGGACGTCTAGTGTCATTTACCAGACCAAAGATCAGTTTGGACGCAGGAAGCACCTCCAGAGGTAGACAGCCACTGGAGGCAGACTTAGAGCTGCAATGCAAACATTGCAGTTTATCTGTAACTGCAATGTTTAACATTGCAGCACTACATGCAATAAGGACATTGCACCTAGACCACTTCAATGAGCTGAAGTGGTCTGGGTGCCAATATTGACAACATTCCTGTTATGGAACACATTTATTCTTATATTAATAAACACGAAGAGATTCTATCACATATGGCACCATAATGTAGTACCATTGTGTCATCAAAATGCTTTTTTGAAAACTGACATTAGGAATTCCTTAGAGGTAAAAATATTTAGAAGTTTATGCCTAGGAAATTGATTTGTATTCATAAACTGCAGGCAAGTTTTTCTAGCAAAAGGCACTTCACAATTATATTGATGGTTTAATTTTAAGGAGCCAAGAGCTAGACAAACCAATTTACATCACTGCACATTGAAGGACTTTGTGTATTGTGAACAAGTGAACATTCTACAATAGCTTAAAGTTCATAACTGATATATTGTATTTAGAAATACATGTAGAAAAAAAACTGTCGGCTCACCTTTTAGAAAACTGTTTCTCAGAAACAACAGTGATCTTGTTCTTTAGACGTTCAATACGAACAATGTTGCCAAGGTTTCCAGTTTTTCCATTGACTTTCACCTTCTCCTTGAGAAATTGTTCCTATTTTGAGAAGAACAAACAAGTATGGACACTAGGGAAGAAAACCCTAGGTACGAACTAGGGAAGGTAACCCTAGTTAAAAGCCATATTAGGAGACAGAAAACAAATCCAAAAGTACATTTAAAATACTATGCAGCTTAGTTTGTACAACAATAATAAAATAAACTTTGAGCCCAATAAAAACTTTGTTGAAATTAAATTAAAGTATGGTGCCAGGGTGTTACTGATACTTCCTTATCTGTAAGTTAATCCATTCAGGAACGATTTAATCGCTACAGATAAGGAAACATCAGGGGCCTCCTGACAACATAATTGTTTTAACGATATGGTGCCCAGAGTGTCCCTTCAAGAATAGAAGAAAGAGTCTAAAGTAGTCTGTTAAAAGCCAGTGTTACAACAAGATAATGTGTATTAACAGGGGAAGCCATCTAGGGCTCATGGAGACCTCAAACCAGAGAGATGAAAATGTGGGTTCAGGAGAGAAAGTGAGAAAGGGCTTTTAAAAAAAAAAAAAGGACCATAAAAAACTAGCACAGGCTGTAGTGGTTATGATGCCCACAGTTTACTTACAACATCTGACTGAAAACTGTTACATTATTTATGAATACCTTGTTTTATCTTAATTTCTGTTCTTTAGGTCTCAGTCCAGAAACCCAGCAAATGAGAAAAACCAAAAACTGACAGGGCTATTGGATGTTGTAAAATAGGTCACACTGCACATTACAGTAAGTAATGCAATGTCTCACCAAGAAACATAGGATTTAAAGAGGTAACAAAAGAGCTATGGTAACTATACATACTTAAAATACGCAAAACACACTTTTTCTATAATAGTTTAACATTTAAATGCTGTGACCATGATTTTCCCCTTGAATCCAAATCGGAATGACATGAGAAAACACTTAAGATTCTTGAACATATGAGGTTGTCAGTGTATAACAGCTGTGGTGCCAGGAGTTACAAGTCAATGAACTAAGTGTTTAACACAAACATGTCAAAGCAACTTACAAAGTTCACAGAATCGAAGATGCCATCTTCCACCGGGTGGGTCAGATCCAGGGTGAACCGGCACACCACCTTCTTGGAGCGTTTGTCTTTTAACTGGAATGAAGAGAAGCATTGGTAAGCCTATAGTTAATAGACTTTATAAAACTTCATATAGAGCAGTGCCCACAGATCAATAACAAGGTTATTAATTAACATGACAAACTGTATACAGACAGAGAGAGAGATGACAAAGGGTAAATATAGAGAGAGTATGTCAATACACTAACATGCTATATGATCATTAATACACCCTGTGATTCCTTATTCACATTATAAGAGTTTGTCTGGAGATGGGAGTCTCTATACTCCAGGTTTTTTTTTCCTCTGATCCCCTTTTCCCCATAAAATACAAAAACTATTGAAGAAAAAAAACAAATATTTGAAAATGAATGTTGTTAACGGAGTGTAATAATGACCGTATAACACAGTGTATGGACACATTGTATGACAAGGAGCGGACACACGGCTTCACACTCACAGGCGCCATGTTCTCCACGCCGGGCTTACAGAGAGGACGGACTCCAGCCGGCGTGGCCGTATTTATAGTCTGAGTGACGTAGGCACGTTCCACGGCTGCGCTCTAAACAGAAGAGACACGTGTAGCACGTGCCGCGGCTCCATTTCAAAAGAGGAAAAAATAAAACAAACAACCAGCAGGTCTGTCAACCCCGTCATCGCTGCTGCTCGAATACGGTTAAGCAGAAAGCTACACGGCCAAGGCAGGCTTACTATGACAGAGGATAATGATATAGACATAACGAGAGGCGGGAAGGGGGTGATATGTTGCTCTGGTGTTTAGAACTCGCGTAAACATGCTTAGGCGCTCAGCTTAGTGCGTCACTTCCGCCTTCCCGGCCGCATGCTGCTGAGTCAGGTAGGGCGGTACCATTATCTCCTGGGGCGGGGGTTTAAATAGTGCTCATGTTCCCCCCTTCCCCCACTGCCCATGGGTTGTTCATACTTTATGATTAGAGTAATAGCTGCTGCAGGGGTGTTGCAGGTCTCTCTCTCTCAGCAGAACATTCTGTAGAATTGTGTGCTGCTACTTTCACTGAGTAAGACCAGTGACAGAGCTGTGTTCCCAGTATTAGGGACTGTTTTAACCAAAATGTCCTGTTTTCTAAGTTTAACCATACATTGGCTGCATTGCTTTATTTATTATTAAAAAACAGATAAGGCATTCTTTTATTACTATGTATTGATTCCCCAACATTAAATATGAATAAAATATTATTTAAAAATAAAATAAAAAATACTTTAAATAATTCACCCATTTCATATTCGTGCTGCTAAAAAACAACCTATCAGAAATGACTTTATTATAGTTGGTGAATATTTCATAATGACACATTCCATAATATTTAGCAGTTACTGTTCAAAAAGTACATGCCGGGAATAACTTCACATGTTAAAAGTTAACTAAAGTTGGTGTGCTGGGACTGTAAATTGAACTCCTTAACAACCAATACTTCTCTGAGAATCCAGACCTTCCTAACTCAGGCTTTTTAGGACCATGATCTTTCCATCCTATCTTAATATATAGGTATCTGATATCTATGTATATGTATTCCAAAAGATGATCTGCCACTTTCTGGGGTCTTCGCATATTTTGCAAAGACTTTCTCTGGTTAGGGTTCCAGTGATGTCAAAGTCAAACTTTTTTTTCTGGCAGTGGTGGGGGGGGGGATTTAAATAAATAAAAACCTTTTAATAACTTGTCACAGACAGTCACGAAATAAAGTAGTTTCACTTATTAGTCCCAGTTTTTGGAAGATCTAAAACAAATGTTGGATTGAAGAAAGTATGGTTTAAAAACTAAACCTTTGCCAAATATGGCTTGATTATTCCCAATCAATATACCATAGAAATTTGGTTTGTAGATTTGTAGCTTGTGCTTTATGGAATCTTCAGATTGGATGGGAATGGATCACTGGTATTAATGACACCTGACATCACTACATCTACAGTGTTGTACTGTAGGCTGTGCAGTAAGCAGAAGGCGGAGGCTAGGTCTGAACTGTTGTGGAGTCTGCAGCCACGTCTGGCGAGCCTCTACCTACATTAGAGACACAGAGGTAAAGAAGAAGCTGTGTGTTTCAACTCAGCAGCAAAATCCTTCTAGCAAGAAATAAGTAAGATAGCCTACTGGTGGGCCCCCTTCTGCTGCGGAATCATTCATTATCATTAATTAATTGGTCGGTCAGTAGGAGAACCTCACAAGTCAGACAGTAATGCTAGAGAGCTCACTAATGTGTTGGCTCTACATACTGATAGTGCCAAGAGACTCATCCTGTCTGGTGGGACTTCAGTTTGCAATTGATAATATTTAAAAGTACAGATCGCAAATTGAAGTGCCAGGTAGACTGCTGAATGGGAATAGGTCCTGAGGTCCACTTTTGTCAGTACAGGAGCTCAAAACACAGAACTATTGCATTAAAAATTGGACAGTTGGCAACTATGTTTCTGGCATGCAGCGTGGTAGGCTGTGCAAAGCAGGTGGTGGTAGATTGAGAAGGTAGGTCAACCCTCTTGCTCTCGTGATTCAATACCTCTCATAGTTAAAAGATACAGAGAATTTAGAGAATGGATAATTCAGAAGGAAGAAATGCTTTTAAAATCATACATATTTGCATTCATACTCGGACTCATAGTCCATAGAACTACATCCCTGCATTCACACACTTCAACATTCTTTTCAAACACACATCAACACATTGCACTGATATTCAATGTAAATACACACCTGCATTCACACACAATGACACTTCCCTGAACCACAAACATTCCTGCATTTACACATACATTCACTCTCCATGCAAAAGCATCCTTGCATTCACACATGCAAAGAACACACTCCACGTATATACATTTCTGCAATCACAATAATACAAATACATGTCTTCATTCACTTACACTAGTATTACACACAAGAAGAACCATGTAATTATACACGCCTAACAATACATTTGAAACAAAACAGAGTTCTTAAAAATAAACACAAAAAAGTACATTTGCAATTTCATACTACTCACAACTACACAAAACAAAAAAGTTTATTTATATATACATATATATTTTTTTTTTAATTAGAGGGGCAAAGGTTTCAAATTATATCAGGAAGTGTTACTTTATTGAGAGGGTAGTGGATGCATGGAATAGCCTTCCAGTTGAAGTGGTAGAGGTTAACACAGTAAAGGAGTTTAAGCATGTGTGGGATAGGCATAAGGCTATCCTAACTTTAAGATAAGGCCAGGGACTAATGAAGGTATTTAGAAAATTTGGCATACTAGATGGGCCGAATGGTTCTTATCTGCCGTCACATTCTATGATATAAATATACACACACACATATACAGTATATATGAAAAATATATAAAAGAAGGGAAAAGCTCTGTAAATGTGTAAATCTGTGTGTATGTATATATATATATATATATATATATATAACTTTTTTGGTTTCATGTTTATGCGGTGTTATTGAGACAGCTTTTTTGGTTAGCCCTTGTTTTATACTTAGTCATCCCTCTTTATCTTTATTTACTCACAACGACACCCATTGCTCTCAAAAACAGATATTATACACAAGTGCATACTAACATTCACACAGGCATTCGGAAACTACAAATACACCACTACCATCATACATTAGAACTATACAAATACATTCCTGTATACACAAATGCACACAAACAATACCACTGACACTATGAATACATAGAGAGGTGCACATAATGTACACAATGACATACAGAAATAAGCACCTATATTCAGTCTAACAATACATACTCAAACATGCAATCATATGCATGCCTTCACACTACACACACAAATATATATACACACAAGGGCATATTCCATTATCAGAGAATTGTGGAAAGGGAACAAGAGAATAGCAAGTAGAAAATATCTACAGCTCAAATATTTTACCAGCTATTTTGGTCCATAATTTTTTAATTTTATAACAAGACAGGAGGCTCGTATTATGCATTAACTTTCTTTACTTAACTCCAGCAGCAAAGACATTTTTTCAATAAAGTTTAGTGAATAAAAAAGGTAAAACAACAGAGTAAATGAAATGGAACGTTGGTAGCCAATCAGCATCCAGTATAGTCCATATAGTGAATGATCCCCGATATTCTCCCTCTTTCTTTGCTGCTCCAGTAGAGATAAGTATCATATATATTCACTTATGCTACTGTTTCTAAACATACCTTCTAGTTTGATTATATGTTTGACATATGTATTTATTCATTGGAATATATGCTTTTCTGAAGTAATTCTATGTTTCTTATAGTTTTTTGTCTTTAATATGTTAGGTCAGTATTTTCGCGGGTTTTTTGTATGCAAACGGTCAATTCACTGTTCAGTCATTTCGGCAGTTTCGAACCGTTGCACGCGCGTTTTCTGTCAGTTAGTCCCTTATACATTGATGATGTTTATGGACGGGAATACCAGTTAGTTGGTCCTCAGCTAACTTTCCAGCCCACTTTACCTCAGGACAGCGCTTTCCTCACAACTTGTTACTCTCTAATGGTAATTATTATAATTTGAACTATTTGAATTCCTGTCAGTATTTCCCCTCATAACTGGCAACATTTACTTACTATTTAACTATTCTACAAATACTAGATACAATTACTATTTGTTGCAATTTTGAAATTATGAACTCTAAGGAGATCAGACAGATTGAATCACCAAAACCTGGTGTTTCTCTTGACTGTGAAATCCTCACTGAGGATTCTTTACATAATATTGTGGATTTATCCGTTCAAAAGTCAGTTTCCTCTGCTATTTATACTGCAATGTCCTCTATGCAAGAGGCAATTGCAAAGTCTGTGGCTCAAGCCATAAATAACTCAAAACCCAATTCTGGTCATCTGTGGAGTTTGAACGAAACCTAGCTCAAGGTTTTAGGAGGTCTGGGAAGGCCACCCAGAAACGCAAACATTGCTTTGACGGTCCTGCAGAATCCTCTAATGGCTCTAAGCAAGTTAAGAGAGGGAAGGACCAAGACAAGAATACAATGCGTGCTTCACGCAAAACTGAAGAGTGTAATCAATCACTCAAAAGACCCTCTGCTCGTGAGGAAGTTAAACGGGCTCGGAAGGCCATTCACAGGAACAAACCTGATTCCTATAAAACCTCCTCAGATAGTGAATCATCTTCAATCTTAGAGGATGAAAAATCTGACTCTGATTCTGCCTCAATTTGTTCATACAGGGAGTGCAGAATTATTAGGCAAATTAGTATTTTGACCACATCATCCTCTTTATGCATGTTGTCTTACTCCAAGCTGTATAGGCTCGAAAGCCTACTACCAATTAAGCATATTAGGTGATGTGCATCTCTGTAATGAGAAGGGGTGTGGTCTAATGACATCAACACCCTATATCAGGTGTGCATAATTATTAGGCAACTTCCTTTCCTTTGGCAAAATGGGTCAAAAGAAGGACTTGACAGGCTCAGAAAAGTCAAAAATAGTGAGATATCTTGCAGAGGGATGCAGCACTCTTAAAATTGCAAAGCTTCTGAAGCGTGATCATCGAACAATCAAGCGTTTCATTCAAAATAGTCAACAGGGTCGCAAGAAGCGTGTGGAAAAACCAAGGCGCAAAATAACTGCCCATGAACTGAGAAAAGTCAAGCGTGCAGCTGCCACGATGCCACTTGCCACCAGTTTGGCCATATTTCAGAGCTGCAACATCACTGGAGTGCCCAAAAGCACAAGGTGTGCAATACTCAGAGACATGGCCAAGGTAAGAAAGGCTGAAAGACGACCACCACTGAACAAGACACACAAGCTGAAACGTCAAGACTGGGCCAAGAAATATCTCAAGACTGATTTTTCTAAGGTTTTATGGACTGATGAAATGAGAGTGAGTCTTGATGGGCCAGATGGATGGGCCCGTGGCTGGATTGGTAAAGGGCAGAGAGCTCCAGTCCGACTCAGACGCCAGCAAGGTGGAGGTGGAGTACTGGTTTGGGCTGGTATCATCAAAGATGAGCTTGTGGGGCCTTTTCGGGTTGAGGATGGAGTCAAGCTCAACTCCCAGTCCTACTGCCAGTTCCTGGAAGACACCTTCTTCAAGCAGTGGTACAGGAAGAAGTCTGCATCCTTCAAGAAAAACATGATTTTCATGCAGGACAATGCTCCATCACACGCGTCCAAGTACTCCACAGCGTGGCTGGCAAGAAAGGGTATAAAAGAAGAAAATCTAATGACATGGCCTCCTTGTTCACCTGATCTGAACCCCATTGAGAACCTGTGGTCCATCATCAAAATGTGAGATTTACAAGGAGGGAAAACAGTACACCTCTCTGAACAGTGTCTGGGAGGCTGTGGTTGCTGCTGCACGCAATGTTGATGGTGAACAGATCAAAACACTGACAGAATCCATGGATGGCAGGCTTTTGAGTGTCCTTGCAAAGAAAGGTGGCTATATTGGTCACTGATTTGTTTTGTTTTGTTTTTGAATGTCAGAAATGTATATTTGTGAATGTTGAGATGTTATATTGGTTTCACTGGTAATAATAAATAATTGAAATGGGTATATATTTGTTTTTTGTTAAGTTGCCTAATAATTATGCACAGTAATAGTCACCTGCACACACAGATATCCCCCTAACATAGCTATAACTAAAAACAAACTAAAAACTACTTCCAAAAATATTCAGCTTTGATATTAATGAGTTTTTTGGGTTCATTGAGAACATGGTTGTTGTTCAATAATAAAATTAATCCTCAAAAATACAACTTGCCTAATAATTCTGCACTCCCTGTATATCTCAGAGACACCTGAGCTTATTTCTAAATCTGACGATGAAAACATTATTTTGGATTTTAATGGTAAACCATTATTTGACCCAGACCATATTAAACACCCCAGGTCAGCCGAATGGGTCCCTATGGCTCATGTAGCCAAATATCTTGAACACTGGTTAAGGAAACCCCTTGACCAAGCGACTAGAAATAAACTAAGGGCTGAATGCCCTAGACCGACCTTATCAAAGAAAGTCGCACAGACCCCTGATCTAGATCCTACTATTGTACAATTTTTATCAAAATCAGGGAAGAACCCTAATAAAGGCCTTGACAGGTCACTGAAATCTTGTCAAGATAAATTAATGGACATTTCTGGTCCTGTGACTAAAATGTTTTAAACTTTGGAATATGCGGCAGCTTCTGGGATCCTCCCAGCATTGATACTTTGTGAGGCTGGACCCAACGCATTATATGTCTTTTGGGGAATGCTAATGCAGCGCTGACCAGCGAACGCCGCAGGTCTATTTTAATGAAAATTTACCCTCAACTGTCAAATCTAGCTACTTCCGAACCTGGTCCAGCTGCGGAAGGTCTCCTATTCGGAGAATCCTTTATTAAAGAAATTAATAAATATGTCAATCTATTTAGTTCCCTTAATAAGGCTCAGTTATCCCTGAAGAAAGCTTTCAACCCTAAGGTTTTCGGAAGGGCTGGAGGAGGAAGGAACCGTTCTTCCAGCCGTTCCTTTCAGCATAGACAGGTTCCAAGGAACACTTTTCAACCCTCCAGATCCTCATATGACACCCAACAATCAACTCCTTTCTTTCCACTACGTGGCAGACCTTGGAGATCGAGAGGCCATCGAGGAATGTCTCGCTTCAGATCTTCATCCGGTGAGTATGACAACTCCCCGTTCTTTCCCAGTAAGGTTAGGGGGCAGACTCACTCGTTTTTTTCCATGTCTGGAGTCAGGTTACAAACGACTCTTGGATACTAGACACGGTTCTAGGTTACAAAATAGATTTTATATCATTCCCCGTCCAAAGAAACATGCCTTTCCCGATAAAATTTTCAGCCCAAGACCAGGCCCTGGTGCATCAAGAAATATTAAATTTATATTCAAAAAATGCCATCATACAGGTGCCCATGAACAGCCCAGGTTTCATAAGCAATTTATTCTTGGTGAAAAAGAAAGATTCTGGTCACAGACCAGTCATAAACTTGAAATACTTAAACAATTTTGTCAGATACCACCATTTCAAAATGGAGGGAATTTATTACCTCAAAGACCTGTTGATGTTCAACGACTGGTTGATCAAAATAGATTTGAAGGATGCATACCTTACGGTACCTATCCACCATTCATGTCAGAAATATTTACAATTCCTATGGCAAGGGAAGAAATGGCAATTCAAATCATTGCCATTTGGTTTATCCTCTACACCTTGGTGTTTCACCAAATTACTGAAACCAGTAATATCCCTACTTCGAAGCAGGGGAATAAGAATGATAATATATCTAGACGACATACTGATTTTGTCACAGAGTGTGCAAAATCTTCAACTACATTCTCAATGGACATTGAATCTGTTAACAAGCCTTGGCTTTGTAATAAATTACGAAAAATCGATTTTAACTCCCTCTCAGGAGATAGAATTTTTAGGATTTCTAGTAAATTCCAATTTAGCCACTCTCAGCCTTCCATCACAGAAGTTGAAAACAATTCGAAAAGAGATCAGGTCAGTTCTAAAGAAGGAATTAATTTCCATCAGGTCGTTAGCAAGGATTGTAGGACTTTTATCAGCCTCGATCCAGGCTATCTTTCCAGCCCCCCTTCACTATCGGGCTCTTCAAAGATTGAAAAGAGAACATCTAAACAATGGTCTCCTTTATTCAGACAAGATTTCTCTAACTTCAGAGATAAGAATAGAACTTTCCTGGTGGTTAGATCACGTTCAAATTTGGAACGGGAAAGCCATTTTCACGTCATTCCCAGACCTAACTATAGAATCCGACGCAAGTCGTTTAGGCTGGGGAGCTCATTGTGGAGGCAAATAGTCTCTAGAAGAGACGAATATGCATATAAACTGCCTGGAACTCATGGCAGGGTTTTTCGCTCTACGCAGTTTTGCGAAACACAAATCCCATTGTTGTATCCTTCTCAAGATGGACAACATATCAGCAGTCCAATATATAAATCGCTTAGGAGGTACAAAATCCAAGCAACTGGCCGATATTGCCAAAGAATTATGGCATTTTTTCCTCGATCGAAACATAACGTTACGTGCAGAATACCTTCCCGGCCTTTCCAATACTGTAGCAGATTGGAATTCCCGCTTCCTAGTGGATTACAGCGACTGGATGTTGGATCCCAACATCTTCCAACAAATACTTGCCCTGTGGGGTCCATTTCGATACGACCTCTTTGCATCACGGCTCAATCGCCAATTGGAAAAAAATTTCAGTTGGCGGCCGGATCCAGAAACAGTAGATCAAGATGTTGGAAGGAAGGGGTCAATTATGCTTTCCCCCCGTTTACGATGATATCCCGGGTACTTCTGAAAGCATGGTCCCAGAAATCGACCTTAGTGATTATAACCCCTCTCTGGCCATCACAACCATGGTTCCCTCAGCTTCTCAGCATGCTGATAGACTACCCTCGACTCATACAGATGTGTCAGGATTCTCTTCGCGACCCGAAGGGAAATTGTCATCCTCTAGTACTGTCGGGCCAATTACCCCTGATTGCATCCCTCATTTCGGGCCATTCGAATCTCATAGTGAATTTTCAAACACTACTAGAAACATTCTCTCAGAAGCATGGGCACCGGGAACCCGTGCAAATTACAGATCAGCCTGGAAAATTTGGCTTAATTGGTGCATGGAACAGGCAGTGGATACCATACATTCAGATTTAGCAAACATTCTAAATTTTTTGTCAGCCTCTTTTGATTCAGGGAAAGCTTATCGCACCATTAATGTCTATAGATCCTCTATCTCAGCGAATCACGACCCTATTGAATTTTTCCTTGTGGGTAAACATCCTTTAGTCTGCAGACTTATGAAGGGTATCAGATTTAAACGTCCTCCATGCCCTAAATATAATTCCACCTGGGATGTTACTCTGGTACTCCAGTTGATAGAATCATGGGGGGCCAATGATTAATTATCCTTAAAATTGCTTTCGCTTAAGCTTACCACTTTACTATGTCTCATCTCTTTCAAAAGAGTTTCTGACGTTAAGGCTTTAAACTTAAATAATAGACAATATACTCCTGATGGTGTTACATTTTCTATTGTTAGACGTACCAAAACTAATCTCCGTACTGTATTCTATCCTTCATTTTCTGACCATCCTCTTCTATGTGTTGTTAGTTGTCTTCAAACATATGAGTTTAAAACCTCTTTGATCCGAAATTCTAATTTCTCACAATTACTAATCTCCTTTCGTAAACCTTTTCTACCTGTCTCCTCTACATCTTTAGCTAGATGGGTACGACAAACCATGTCTATGGCAGGTATTAATATTTCAATGTTTGGAGCTCACTCATCAAGAGGAGCTATGACTACTAAAGTGTTTCAAGCAGGAGGCTCTTTATCAGATCTATTAAAAACAGCAGATTGGTCTTCAGAATCTACATTTAAACAGTTTTATTTTAGACCTAGCCAGCATGTTTCAAAAATAATATTGTAATAACTTCCGATGTATGTTATATTATGACTACATAGCTTTGAACATGCATAATACGAGCCTCCTGTCTTGTTATAAAATTCAAGATTTTCCTAGTCTTGACGTCAGAAAATATAGATTTTATTAAAGACAGGAGGCGAGTATTATCCCTCCCATTAACCCACCATGTTATTTATATTTCAGCTTAATCCTGTTTGGAGTTTCATCATTCTATCCTTGGAGCTACTCTACTAGACACTTCTTCTACATTCGCAGCTCGAAAGAGGGAGAATATTGGGGATCATTCACTATATGGACTATACTGGATGCTGATTGGCTACCAACGTTCCATTTCAGTTACTCTGTTGTTTTACCTTTTTTATTCACTAAACTTTATTGAAAAAATGTCTTTGCTGCTGGAGTTAAGTAAAGAAAGTTAATGCATAATACTCGCCTCCTGTCTTTAATAAAATCTATATTTTCTGACGTCAAGACTAGGAAAATCTTGAATTATTGTGTCAATTCTCCACGTTTCCAAATTTAGTGAATAAACCGGAGTGTGTTTTTAATGCATAGAAATTGGATGTCACGTGACCCAGAGCCTACATTTGTCCATACTGCTGTCAGTCTGTTCTATACCTTGCAAATGCAAGTAACACTACACACTGATTCCGCTTCTTGTAGCTGCATGCTAAGTAGTTGTTCAATTTTAATGGGATACCACAGTCCCGAGACAAATACTAAAATAAAACAAACACTAAAATGGTCCTTGCAAATACAACCTTTCAGCCTACACAAGCCTTAATCATGTATTACATGCATTTGCAGAATTGTGTTCCCCCAAACAAACGTCTTACTCACATTTACATCATTTTAGTGCTGCACATTCACTTTATTTCTGTCCCACACCTTCCAACTGTTCTGAGTCAGGGGGACAGACTAGACAATGTTGGGAGGTAGGCAGCATCAAGATGAAGGATATTCTCAGCAGCTTTGCAATGTTGAAAACATTTATTGACTGAACATCACCTGAAAATCTCAACCAATAAATGATTTTAAAACTTGCACAAAATTCTTTTCAAACTTGCACAAAATTGATATAGCTAAAGTGGATTGAGGACCATGGGTTCCTGGAAAGACCCAAGCAATTAGCAAACTGTTCACAAATGGTTTGACTGCTTACCCGGGAATGGGGTGAACGTCCTTTTTAAAAGAACACTATAGGGTCAAGAACACAAACGTATTCCTTACCCTACAGTGTTAAAACCGCCATCTAGCCCCCTCTGATCTCCCTAAATATAGCAGAATCTTACTTGTATTCAAGGCTGCTGCTGCCTGTGCCCCTGATCTGCCTGCTTGGGTGACATCTTCAGAAGTGAATCTCTGAGCCAATCACAATGCTATCCCATAGGATTGGCTGAGACTGTCAAGAAGGCGGATCAGTGGCAGAGCCACACAAGTCAAACACAGCCCTGGCCAATCAGCATCTCCTCATAGAGATGTATTGAATCACTGCATCTCTATGAGGAAAGTTCAATGTCTTCATGTAGAGGGTGGAGAGACTGAATGTCAGTGCTGTACACTGTGCAGCACTGCCCCAGGAAGCACCTGTAGCAGCCATCTGGGGAGTAGCTAGTGGAGGTACCCCTAGCCTGTAATGTAAACACTGCATTTTCTCTGAAAAGACCGTGTTTACTGCAAAACGCCTGAGGGAAATGATTATACGCAACAGAACAAATACATTAAGCTGTAGTTGTTCTGGTGACTATAGTGTCCCTTTACGTGCTCTCTACAGACTATGTTTTCTGTAAACTAATTTTATGCGTACAAGCATGTGGAAGGAATTTGATTATTCAAGAGGAAAGGATAGGTGTAAGTATATTGTAATATTAAAGTGAAACTGCCACAGCTAAGACATTTTTTGTAGCTAGCGTTAATACAGTAGCAGGGACAAGTTGATCAAATAAAGAAGTCATTTTGAATCTGTGTCAAATATGAGAAGTACGATAATCAGCAATTCTCTTAAGCCAGAGCCAGAATCACATTTATCAAAAGTCTAGCAGTATTCCTAAAATGTTAAGGAATTTGGTGATATTATAAGCATGGCCATGGTCTCGATGGCGGTAGGATTACAATTCCTAAACATGAGAGGACGTTTTGGGTCTTTAGGGGATTTAGTCTGCATTGCGTACCTCACAAGATCAAGAAGTAGGCAGTAGATAGATGATTATGCACCAGCAAACATGGAGGTATGAGTTTGTAATTGTGTCACAGCCTTTTCCATCATATCATTATCCATCACTCGTGTTTGAGTGTAAAACAACTCCTGAACAAAAGCAGGATGAAGCTGGTGATTGAGTCAGCAGTTAAATTACAGGAACTCCAAAATGAAAAAAAACAAGTTTACAAACACCACGGTCAAATGTTAGACAGGGGGAAGCTAATAGTGTGAGGTTCCATCTCTACTTAAAGGACCACTATAGTGCCAGGAAAACATACTTGTTTTCCTGGCACTATAGTGCCCTGAGGGTGCCCCCACCCTCAGGGTCCCCCTCCCGCCTGGCTCTAGGGGGTGGAAGGGGTTAATCCCTTACCTTTTCTCCAGCGCTGGGCGGGGAACTCTCCTCCTCTTTGGCTGAATGCGCATGTGCGGGAAGAGCAGCGCGCCTTCAGCCAGTCTCATAGGAAAGGATTCACAATGCTTTCCTATGGACGCTGGCGTCTTCTTACTGTGATTTTCACAGTGAGAAGCGCGGAAGCGCCTCTAGCGGCTGTCAATGAGACAGCCACTAGAGTCTGGATTAACCTTATTGTAAACGTAGTAGTTTCTCTGAAACTTCTATGTTTATAGAAAAAAGGGTTAACCCTAGCTGGAACTAGCACCCAGACCACTTCATTAAGCTGAAGTGGTCTGGATGCCTATAGTGGTCCTTTAAGCATCTGAATATGCATATGCTGCTCTCCTGCCTACGTATCATTGTTATTATATTGTAAGATAGCCCATTTTAGCAGTCTACTTTCTATAGGTGTTTTTCATTTACATGTGCATACAATTCTTATTTAGATGCGTAGGCGTGGCACGGTGTGTGCCGGGTGTGCCTGGGCACACCCTAATCCCCGTGGCACGCCTATGGTTTGAGTCCTGCAGAAACAGCGTTCCTGCACTTTTTTTTGAGCAGTAACGCTGTTCCTGCAGGCACTCAGCGCCCCCTGTCTCGGGGGGGGGCAAGAGGTGATGGATCCCCCCCCTCTCTCCAGCTCAGCCGCGGCAAGGGAGCTGTCTGCTCTCTACTTCCTCTCGCCACGCGCTGATGCCCGTGCGGCGAGAGGAAGCAGAGAGCACACAGCTCCCTCGCCGCGGCTGAGCTGGAGAGAGGCGCCCGCCCCACTGGACCCCAGGGACAAATCCACACCAGCACGCCAGGTAGGAGGCTGGGTGGACATTTTTTTTTAAATTAAAATAATCATTTTTTCTTGTGTGTGTGTGAGTGTCTGTGAGTGTATGTGTGTGAGTGTACGCATATATATATATACACACACACACACACGCAGAGCCGGCGCTGAGTGCCGGCTCTGCTCTAAGCCTCCATGGGCCGGTGGGGAGACCAAAGATCTACCTCACCGGCCCACAGCAGCATGGAGGCAGGCAGGAGAGGACCCAGGGAGCTCTAGACAGAAGCTCCGCCAGGTTCCTCTCGCGATATCTGAGCGTTGCTGCGGCAACGCTCAGATCTCGCGAGAGTTAACTCTAGCCCCGCAGGCTAAAGTTCACTCTCCACTGGACCACCAGGGATGGCACATGGCAGCAAGGATTTACTAATCTGCCAAATCCCTCCAAACATACAGCACCTACACACATACAGCTCACACACACACAGTACACTAACCGCACCCTCACAAACACACACAGCACCTTTAAAAAAAAACACCCTCACACACAACACACTAACAGCACCCTCACAAACACACAAACAGCACCCTCACAAATACACAACACTCACACAAACAGCACCCTCACAGGACAAACATACACACACAAACACCCTCACACACAAACAGCACAGTCACAAACACCCTCACATCACACTAACAGCACCCTCACACACACATCACACTAACAGCACACTGCACACTAACAGCACACACAGCAGTGTATATGTGTGTGTGTGTGTGTATATATATTATTATATATATAGATATAGATAGATACACACACGCGGCGTGTTTGTGCTTTAGGGTGCACACCCTAATGCAATAGGCTGCGCACGCCTATGTTTAGATGCTAAAACAACTCCCCCATAATGCCTATATTTCTTAATCAAATGCTTAAAGGAACACTAAAGCATTAGGAATACCTCCTCCCCCATGTTTTCCAAAAAAATAGCAAAATTAAAGTTTTACTTACCTTTTTCTAATGCCGAGATGAAGTGGCCTGGGTGTCTTTTGTGGCCCTTTAAAATGCAATGTTGCTTTACTTAGCTTTGCTTTCACAAAGCCATTATGCCTGTATGTCAAGCTACATATCTATACTGTTGAGGCTGTATATCCATACGTCAATAAAACTTCCAGTTTTAAAAAAGAAAATAGTGTCAGATAAAGATTGCTGACCCTGAGATTATGGTATTATACTTTTTTGATTGTTTTTTTTTTAGTTCTGAAATTTATATAAAATCCTACAATACTAGAACTTGGACTTATCATTCTACTGAGCATTCCATTCTAGACCTGAATATAAAGATGCCCGCTATAATAAGCCCTGTTGAAACAGCACACACAGCTGAACTCACCAGATATCTCTAATCTTTCTTTTCAGTGTGATAATCCTTTACCCAACATGCATGTTACAGCATCCCATTCCTACAGAGAAACACACTTTTACAATCAGGCTAAACAGAAAATTCACTAACAAAGTTATTCGCTAAACTCCACGTTGGCCTCTAAATTGCAAACTTCAGGGAATATCCCTAAATTTGACCAGAATTTCCAGTTTAGTGGCTGATTCTGAGAATCTGGGCGCATGTTCTTCTTTAGTTCAAAGTAATTACGGTTTGCTTTAAAACAAATGTCTGTGAAAATATTCAAAGTGAAAAAAAAAAAAAACATTTGCGGCAGTTTGGTTAATGCAGGAAATTAGTTGCTGTCCACAAATGATTTACTAACTTATTTGTTAAATAAACTCCAAGGATGCATTGAAGTGGACTGGGTGCAGTGTTCCTATTCCACTTAGTGCTGCAATGTAAAATATTGCAGCACTAAGCGGGGTCGGCGCTACCTGTAAGGCGACCTAGGCAGGGATCAGGGGGCGCCGGATCCCTGCGCCCGGAGTCACCGCGGATTTGAGTGACCGAGGTCATATATATATATATATATGAAACTGTGAGATTGAAGCGATAAATAAAAATTATATTCCATTTTCTATATTACCTAAATGATTTCAAGATACCTCAGTCTTTTATTCAGAAACAATGTATGTTTCCGACATGGTCACCGTCTGCAAATAAGTTAGCGCTATTTGAATGCCAATAATATTATTAAACATGGCCTCAAATCTGAATTCCTACTAACAGGCCCTAAAAGTTACTTGTCGTTGCGAGCCTTATCATAGTGACTAGGTGTCAAGTGGAAATGTTGATCACTGATAATAGTAATAATAAGGCTTGATCCAATGGCATAAATACAAAGTCAAATCATTTTGGAGATTAGTTCCAAGATAGCAGAATGTATATTCTTCTCTTCCCTTTTCTCCGAATGTCAATCCAGCAATGTTACAATTGCTACTTGATTCATGAAAGGCAGCATTGCTTGTTATAGTAGTAAGACCTATGCGCGTCCTCCTTTCTGCATAAATACATTTTGTCCGCAACATGACATATGTCTAGGAGATGTTGAGCGCAAGACTTCTGCCACCTTATATTTACTCTAAGGAGTGAATTGTGTTCTTTACTGTATTGAGCAAAAGGTTTATGGGAAAAAAAGCAG